CAACTGAAAAGGGGAATAAATAATACTGTCCACCTTTTCAAAAATTTCATTAGTGAGCTCACAAATAGCAAAGTCCAAACAATCTGGGTGTTTTGTCAACCAATAAACTACTAAGAAAACTGCTAATAAGAAAAAAGAAAAACAAACACTATGATAAGTCTTACTTCCTGCAAGTCATTACTCAGAAATTACTTTTTCAGTGAGCCTTTTTCTCTCCATGCTCTCCTTAAAATTTTAACTTTATCCCTACCCTGCAACTTCATATTCTTTCTCCCTTCCCTGATTCCTCCCCACCCTCCCCACTCATTAGATCTTGTCACTATCTAACATATCCTACATGTGACTCATTCATTTTGCTTCATTCCCGCACAGAACTCTAAGCTCCTTGAGGGAAGGGATTTTGATGTTTTGTTCACTGCTGTATGTAGAACAGTTTCTGGAATATTGTAGGTACTCAATAAAGATTTACTGAATAAATAAAGGAGTACAAAGCAAAATATTCCTGGAGAAAACACTCTTTGTGAAGTCATTTTCAAGGAACGGTAAGTGAATGCCCTCTAACGTGATCTGTGACCATTCCTAAAGCCAAAAATTGCTATTCATTTTTCTCATGCTAACAAAAAGAGAAATCGATACCAGCTGTAGAAATATATAGCTATACTTTAATGTAAATTCCTTATTTTATTTTATTTTATGATAAAACTGAGGTCAATAGGGCGCCTGGGTGGCTCAGTTGGTTAAGCGACTGCCTTCGGCTCAGGTCACGATCCTGGAGTCCCAGGATCGAGTCCCGCATTGGGCTCCCTGCTCGGCAGGGAGTCTGCTTCTCCCTCTGACCCTCCTCCCTCTCATGCTCTCTGTCTCTCATTCTCTGTCTCAAATAAATAAATAAAATCTTTAAAAAAAAAAAAACAAAACTGAGGTCAATAATGATAATTCAGTTCTATTTCCTTAGTATAGGTTGAACGCCTAGTTAAGTGCAAAAAAATAGCTACCAGAAGGCAGTAATGGGATGTTTCCTGATTGTTAAATTAACATTCTTTCCACAGAATTATGCTGCTTCTTCATTTAAGACAATGAATAGTCTTTTGCCAAGTGGAAGAAAGGAGGGGAGTAACCACATATAGGGAGTTATAAGGGGGAAAAAAAGGAAAGAACAACAACGAAATAGAAAAATACACATTCTCTGAATCACTGAAGGTAAGCCCATCCAACATAATAGTTTGTAGCTAAAAAAAGGAGTTCAATTTTAACAGAAGACAAATGTATGGACAGGCTGTATTTGGGTTTTTTTTCTTAGGAAGAAAAAAAAGTAAAATGTTTACCTTTTTTTTTTTTTTTTTAAGATTTTATTTATTTATTTGACAGAGAGAGACACAGCGAGAGAGGGAACACAAGCAGGGGGAGTGGGAGAGGGAGAAGCAGGCTTCCCGCTGAGCAGGGAGCCCCATGCGGGGCTCGATCCCAGGACCCTGGGATCATGACCCCAGCCGAAGGCAGACGCTTAATGACTGAGCCACCCAGGCATCCCAAAATGTTTACCATTTTAAAGGAGAGAAAGGTTGACGTTAGCTTTGTGATCATCCTTAGCGTCCATGTCAGAGTTTTCATGGCATATAACCAGCTCAGCTATGAACCCAGGGTACAGACATAATGAGACAAGTAGGAGTTAAAAGATATTGTAGAAATATCTGAGATACCGGGTTCATGGTCTAGGATCATAAATGTGTTCAAATCGGATTCATTAAGTCACCTAAAGGTCTGTGAAAATGCAGGATGATCCACATTCAAAAATCACTTAGTTTTGTTTTGGTGAATAGAGCCATATACCATGATAAACCATTTTCAATTATGAGATGGCTCAGAAAATGTGTTTGAATTCAGAGAATGTTGAGACCCTATGCTTTTCAGTACTGAGAATTTAATCTTTCATTTGAAAGAATAAAATTTATCCAGTGAAGTTCCAAGTATAGATTTCATAATGAATTCTACTTATTGCTTCCTGGACCTATCAATTCCATTAATGGATGAATATCTGTTCTGAATCATAACTCAAGAAGAAATGTCACTATTTTACCAATGATATTTATATCAGAAACAATAAGACAATGAGCCCATTCTGCTTGGATGCGTTGGTCATTTATGCATAGCAATTGGAATTCTGGGGAAAATGCCAAAGATAATCAAAATGCATTCGGATATTAAGATAAAATTATATGCTTTTCATTTCAGACATATCAATGGGGGTAGAAGGGAAAATACATCTCTGATTTTTATAGTGCAATGGGCAGGGGGTGGGGGGGAGGAATCAACAAATTGTCAAATGCAATTCCACAAATCATATGGAAGCAAGATTATAAGGATTCCTAGTTAATTTAGTAGAAATATAAAATAACTGACCTATGAAGCATTTCTATTGACTAGAGCCCAATATAAAAAAATATAAGAATTCTACTGGCCTAATTAAGAATATTAAAATATTATTAGGAATCATTTTGGATATATGTGTGTGTGTATACACACACACACACACATATATATATACACATATTTATAAATTATGTTGTACACCTAAAACAAATACTTCAATTATATCTCTATTAAAAAAATGTTATTTGGTTTACATAAAGTATAAACCCTTTACACTCAGGAACAGAATTTGTGTACAGAGACAAGATGCTTAAATAAACCAGTAGTTATAACCATCACTCTCTTCAAATTTGTTTAGAAAGGCTAAAAGAACCTAAATCAAACCCATTACTTAAGTTAATGTGCAGTTTGCACAAGTTCACAGTATACTTAGGGAGAATTCAAGTCTAAAAAGAGTGAATCAAGAGTATTTTAGAAATGCATGTTACTTCGTCCAATAATAAATTCTAAGCCTTCTCCCCTCCCCACCCCACCCCACCCCCCAGATTACTCCACAGTACAATCTTTGAAACTCAAAATAATAAATTATAGTTTTTAAAATGTTGCTCTTTAATAAAAATGGTTTTAAGTATCAGGTGAGGTTCAAGTCCAACATGTGAGAACGTTCACATACAAAATAAATGTCATACTTTCCTATAATCTTGTTAAAAGATACTTATTTTAGTGGATGCTGCTATCTCAAGATGTATTTGGAATGTTTCTTTTGGAAATACACATGAACTATCATTAGGCTATATTAACAATTCATATCAGCCAAAGAGTTTTATCCAACTTAAGCACTTATTACTCATATTTAAATATGTCAGCTAATTCCAAAATATTTAATCTATACCAAAAGACAGGAACTTGTCTGTATTGCGATTATTCAAATGAATGTGAACCACAAGCCTCGAAAGTAAGTCCAAAAGACCTTCAAAATTGCTTTCAATAGTGACAATAGCACTGAAACAATAGCACTAATATACACCCTCTCAAGAACATTGTATGGAAGAACGTTTATCTATAAATTCTACTACTTGTTTAAAAAAGAAAACAAACCTTATTTATCTCTTATATTCATTCACCTTAAAAACTGAAAACTCTTAATTTGGGGTTTTACATAAACAAAGCATCAAAAAACATTTTTACTTTTTTTCACTTCCTATGAATTTATCGTTCAAATTACCTCAATTTCATTCTGTAAAAGAAAATATTAACATTTCTTATTCTAAACCACTAATACTTAAAACAAATCCTATTTAACATGTGTTTAAATTATTCCTGTAGATTTGGTTAGTGGGAAAGGTTCTGATGTTTGAAAATGACAGAAAAATAATTTTAATTTGGGAGAAATCACCCAAGTATTTTTAAAATTTTAACAGTCTCACACCTAGGCAATGCAAATAAATTGCTTGATCTGATGAACTTTCAAAATGTATTTTAATCTCATTTTCCAAAAAGAAAGAAAATTTCTAGATACAAACACATCTCAATCACATTTAATATACATTCAGCAACTTAAAATATTATAAGGATCCAATATTTTCACCTTTTATAATCTCAATATATTATATATTTAATATATAATATATATACAATACATACAGGTAGGCAGCAGGATTAAAGTAATTTTTTAAAAGTCTGATCAATATTGATAAATATCTTTAGACTATTAAAAGAACTGTATTTAGGATCACAGAATAAAATAAAATATGGGAGTTCCAAGCCTATTAGCAAGATTGCAAATGTTCATATAGCCAATCATTTTAAAAGATCCCTCAAGTTGGATAGAATACATTTTAAAACAATACTCTTGCTACTCTCAAGCAGCAGTACTTGTAGATATTAAGCATGTACATCTCCATTAAATTTAAAATTACTATGCAGCTTTCTTTACTGTAATATACAGTAGCTATTTCTTCCTTTCTGTTGGATTTTGCTATTGTTGTTTGAAGAGTGACTAATATATTACCAACAGAAGTGACTCTAGCTCCTTTCCCTCCCCCAAAGCATGGCTCAGTCTGAAGATTGTTCTACAGGCAGCCACTAGGAATATTGACAGTACCTTTATACCATTAAGAGCAATCAATCAATAGCTGGAGTCATCTGAGAAGTTTCAAAGACTGCTAGAGGTTTCTGTAAACCAAGGTAATCAAAAGTATTACCCCTGTAGATAGCCCTCTCACATCAGTTAAAACAAGGAGTTAAAATTCCAATGCCAATATAGCAGTTAATAATCTACTCTGTAATTTTAAATATTATACCATTGATTCACCCTGAGAACACAGAGGAAGCATTTAAAACAAGATATTCTGATATGTTTTTTTCCTTTGTATTTGCTTTCTTCTGGTTTCCAACAGCCCTTCAAGGGCATAAATATTTCAAATCAAAGTGTGACTTGGATATCCTTTTTTGTTAACTGAGATTCATGCCACAGTCAGATACTGGTGATAGAAAAGCCCAAAAAGGCTTGTAGAAAAGAGACAAGCAGCAATCCACCAGGTCAGAAAAGACAGAAGTCCTCGAAAAAGGAGAGGAGTGAAAATATTTTTTAAGCTGCTCAGTGCCACTGTTATTTGTGTAACAGTTACCTTCATCTTCCCATCAGATGGTAATTCAGAGTAAACAGAGTTGGAGGGTAGACTATTATCCACTGGTAAGGTAGAGACAGATTCTGGATAAATCCCCCAGGAATGATTACCTAGAAAATGCAAGACAAAAGTAAAACTTGAAGACTAATTCCAAGACCTCTAATTAAAAAAAAAAAAAAAAAAAAATCTTTAACTTATGCTTGAAATTAAGAAAAAGAAGTTTAGTGGCATAACAGATTATTTCACGTTGAAAATAAAGTGAAATAACCTTTTTACATATTTGGTAAAAAAATTCATTTAACTTGATTAGACTACAAGCTTGTCTTACCAGTAAAAGTACACTTAAAAGTCTAATTTACTTTTTTTTTTTTTTTAAAGATTTTATTTATTTATTTGAGAGAGAGAATGAGAGACAGCACGAGAGGGGAGAGGGTCGAGGGTCAGAGGGAGAAGCAGACCCCCCGCTAGCAGGGAGCCCGATACGGGACTCGATCCCGGGACTCCAGGATCATGACCTGAGCCGAAGGCAGTCGCTTAACCAACTGAGCCACCCAGGCGCCCAAGTCTAATTTACTTTTAATTAACTGCACTAAATTCTGGTAAAATAATAAAATTTTTTTTCCTTGTATAATACATTAATCAACTACCTCTACTGGAGTGACAGGGACAAACTCAGTAACTTCTTAGAAATCTTTTCTACCTCTAGAATATCAGAATAAATTTCTTTCTCAGAAACTATGATTTCAATGTGAGAGACTATTAATAGCTCCCAGAAAGTTTTTTCATCGTATATTTTCCTATGTTGGATAGGATATGAATCACATAATTTATAACTGAGCTACTTCTTTATGTTCCATAGATTCCTAAAGGCCATTTACATCTATCATCAGCTCTATAGTATCTACGAAGCCCACCCAAATAATACTTTTAGTTCCTTTGGGCTTCTTAAACCCCCACACTGGCTGACCGCCTGATCTAAGCAAAGGGAAATAATCAATACAATAATGGATAGTTCTCGAATAACACCACACAGGAACTTGATAGTTTAGTGAACAGACTTAATAGGAGAACTTTGTTCTTCCGCTGAGAAATCTTTATCCTATCAATATCTAAAGCAGAACTCACTAAAGGATCCTGGATTCATGTAAGTATACAACTACCTTATAATAACTGAAATGTTAGGCACTAACAAAATCTTCCATCATCTCCTTACAACACAAAATAACTAAGTGCTCATTCAAGTTTCTCAGTACATCTGGGAATTAATCTTTAGCAAACAATTCTTGTAAGTAAAGCACATTATAAAACTATACGAATCTGAAGATGATGAATCAACTTTTAAAGTTTCCCGTGTCAAACTTTTAAAGAAAACAATTTTAAGAAGCATATTTCTTTGTAGGTAACAAAAAGCATTATTAATTATAGGCAGAAAGTAAAACAACACATTTCCCAGTTGCCAGGGCAAGCCTACCTAGTGTTTTCAAAAGCAGAGTTGTGTGAAGCAGCATTACCAGAGGTGCCACATACTGCAGGGCAATGACACAAAGGTAATAAAAGACTCGAGCCACCTGCAACCAACAACATTCTTAAGTGTCTAATATGGCTGACATATTATGAGTGAATTAAACTTTCATATAATTGTCAAAATGAACTGCTTAAGAGATAAGTAATCCCATCATGGGAAGGAAGCTAAACGCTATTAAGTTTGCACTTCATTATAAATGCCCCCAAACTGACTTCAGAAACGCTCAGTTTAAAGATAAGGTTTTTTTGTTTGTTTTTTAAAGATTTTATTTATTTATTTGACAGAGAGAGACACAACGAGAGAGGGAACACAAGCAAGGGCAGTGGGAGAGGGAGAAGCAGGCTTCCCGCGGAGCACGGAGCCCGATGCGGGGCTTGGTCCCAGGACCCTGGGATCATGACCTGAGCCAAAGGCAGACGCGTAACGACTGAGCCACCCAGGTGCCCCTGAAGATAAGTTTTAAATGTGGAAATATTAAACTCCTTGAAACTAGTTCTTAAGTGGTTAATATAAATTGGAGAAAATAATCCCTTAAATTTAAATGGTATATTCACTTACATTTCAAATATAAAACAAAATGCTAGGATCTCTAGACAGACACCAAAAACATCAAGCTAAATAAAAATAACAGACTGAGTCATAAAACCCTCATAAATAAAAACATCAAGTCCCCATTCTATATGAACATATACAACTAAAATTTGAGGTAAAATTATCATAGAGAGAACAAATATATGTAAAAAAAACAAAAAAAAAACAAAAAAAACCTGTCTGAATCTTGATGAATACCCTGACCATGAGAGAAAGTGAAAAACAGAGCACCCAACACCAAATTTCTATAAAAAAAATATGATCCGGTTATACAGATCCAGTTAACTATAATGGTGGATGGATTCCTAGCCCTTTCCTTCTCTGGAATTCCCATTAAGTTAAATATTTACATTTCAGGTTCAAATACTTGGAATAATGTTACACAGAATTAATTTAGCCACTAGAACTAGTATTTCCTACCCCATAAGTCTTAAAGGCTAGACGGTAACATATTGTAATGTCTTCCAAATCAAATGGGGGTCCCATTTAGCAATAATAGATATACCACAGCATTGCAACCCAAACTGTATGATACTTCAAGTACTAAGGCAGGAAGAGGACTTGAGACTCTTTCTTCCCTTAGCATCAAAATCAGATTGAGGTCTCTTCAGTATCTGTCCATTTAAGATTATGCCATATATTTAATGGCAAGAGTACTGTGGGATAAAATTACTATTAAGGTAAATTAAATGCTTTGTTTTCTTACAATACAGTGCTTGCTAGTCTTCGTTGTGACTACAGTACGAAACTTACCATTTTCTGTAGCTCAACTGTACTTATTCGCCCTGCTTCTTTCTTCATCTGATCCACACATTTCTGGGCTAAGTTTAAGTAAGCTTGCAGGTGACTGCGCATCATGGCCAACCGCAAAGCACACAGCAGGATTATTAACCAGAGTCGCAGAGTATCGAATGTAGCTTCTGTCATTCTACAGATCAAGAAGTTGACATGGTGCTCTCAAAGACCAAAATACGTTAGCATGCTAGTTATGTGTGTCAGTGTTCACCACATAAAATATAGGATATCTACACTTAATTACAGTTGGAGATATAAAACAAACGTATCCCACTTATACTACAGGCTTACCTATATATAATAATTTGACTTGTATAACACACCTAGACAGATAAACATATCATGAAAGTATAGTAGTAACAGATATGTATCTACAAGAAAAATGCAGGAAGTACCTGGGATCCTCTTCACTATCTACCCTCCTCCATGGAAAAAAAACTGGTTGTGAAATGAAGAGAAAAGATGGGTGCTCTTAAACTGGAGAATACGAGAAAGAAGGAAACAGGAGCCTGCCTGGGGAACTATCAAGTCAACAACCCATGCCTAGAGTTTTGTCTGATTATATAGATATTTGAACAGGATCTCTCACTCTGCTGACTTCCTGATTGGGATCATAGGAAAACGAGAAATTCTGATACATTATGAAGAAATCAGATGTCTCAGATTCCTCTCCAACAAGTCATTTAACCTATGTGCTCGAGCTGGCTCAGTTGTGAGCAATTCCTCAAGACTAAGATGAGAATTCCGGGTAGAAGGTGTACTCTTATGATGTTTTTTTCAGTTGACTGGAGAGGGCTCCTTGAAGGACTTTAGAAGGAAGAGGTAATTTCTGATGTCCGGTGATTACCGTAACATAATAAAATTAATAAAAAAAAAGACCATGGTTTCTCCTTTGATAAAAGGTAACACTGTAATTTGAAAGTAACACCTATACCATGTTTCTTGTCTATTCTAAACTCTAGCATGTATCAGGCGCTTAATATAGGATGGCTAAAATGTGTGAAATTACTTTTAAAAACATTGTGAATCTGTCAAGTTAAAATTACCATTAAGACTTACTTGTGTGGGGGGAAAAAACATTACAACCTCAATGACTACTTCCCTAGTTCAATAAGATTAACTCAAAAAACAAGTCATGGTCATCACTGATTACATACTCCAAGACAAGTGTGTACCAGGATCTAAAAGAAATACATAATATAAAATGTATACTGTGGAGTCAATGTCTTGTCAAGGTTTTCTACTTTAATTTTGATGAGGCAGAGCAGTGAAAGAAACATTGATTAAGCATTTACTTCCAGCTGGTTGCATTACATGCATTCTTTCATTTAGTTCCAATGATAACTTTGTGAGGTAGATACTATTATCTTCATTTTCCAGATGGGGAAACAGAGGCTCAGTGAAGTTAAATAATCTCCTTCAAGTGACAGTTTCAGTGAAGATCAGAACTGGGGTTTGAACCAGCTTTGTCTGAATCTTTCTATTACTCTAACATAGTTCCACAAGGCTACTGAGTTAATATATCGTAAGTACAGTTATCAGTACCTTTTAATAAATTGTTTGTGTTTCCTTACCATCTTCTTCTGTTAAGAGGGGAATTATGACCTAATATTAGATAACAATGTTAAGGCATTATTTTTAATGTGATAGGTATGATGAAAATATTATGTTGGAAAATGTCATTTCTTAGAGGTACATACTCATGTACTTAAGGGTAAAAATGTTAGATCTCTACTTCACTTGAAAAACTACTTCATTAAAAAAACAAAACAAAAAAGGGTGAAGCAAATATGGAAAATATTAACAACTCTTATAGGGGCTAAATACGAGTTTCCATTTATACTACTTATTTTATCCTCTGTAATTTTCACAGTTAAGGAAAAAAGAACTGAAGAAACTATCTTAAAAATAGGCCCAAAAAACAAAAATGTGAGATAACAACTGGACATTAAGTGAGAAGGCAGAAAAACTTACAAGTACACAAGATAACTGTTAATGTGGATTAACAATCATTCACATTCATTAACGAAGATCATAAAAAAGTTACATGATGATTTGTAGCTTCAGTTTTAGAACACATCTTTTAGCATTTCTATTAATGTTTTAAAAATACAGTATCCTAATATTATCATTAAAAAACTTAAAATACAGTACATACCATTTCGGAAAACAGTTTTGATTCTATAAGGAAACAAAATTAGCCCTCAAATACCCATACTTACAAAGGGACATTTTCTTTACCCAATGGTGGGTTCATAATGTAGTCTTTGGTGATTGGTTTTACCCAGAGCAGAACCATAAATAAAGGAGCCAAGAAGTTGATATGAAGTAATGTTCTGAAAGTATGTAAGAAATAAATATAAAAACCCAGGAACAAAATACACTAATAACCTACAGAAACTTGGAACTTATAAAATGAAGGTAGAAACTTATTTTCAGTATTCTGTATTAAGGTACCACTGTCATCATTATTTTCTATTTATCATTATCATTTGACACTGATTTGAGCCCCTGCAAAACTACCTCATTATCTGAATTTCTCAAATGAGAACATTTAGATTCAGGAAAGTTAAATGACTTGCTCATGGCAATACTACAGGTTAAAGGCAGATGTAGCACTAAAATCTAAATCTGTTTGGTTTTATCCTAGTGTTCTTTAACTATCCCCTACTATATCCCTGATTTAATACACAGGTACTTAAATGACTAACTTTATACAGTCAATGAATCCAATGGATTTTCAGTATAGAGGCATCATCTTTTGACACTTTTTCAATGCAAGCCAAAACAAAGTGCCTCCTTATTATTTACAAGTAAGAGTCAGTGATTAGCAAGGTCCATAATACTAGAAGGCATAATATAACACTGTTAGAATCATAAATGATTCATATATTTTTATTTCTTCATGCAGTATTATGAATTTCCCTATCCTATACATACCAAGAAAATTTACATCACTCCACAAAGGCAATATACCTAATACACCAAAAGGTTTTAGGTCTGAGTTATAATTTCATTGTTAATTATTGTCCCAAGTTTGTATCCTACAAAGACAGATGACCGTAAAAACTGTTCTTATTTCAGAAAAAAGACAAACTCTTCTATTTTATTACCATGTCCTGTTTTCAGGATCAACCACAGTGAAGGACTAAACTGGAGGGTTTTAAATACACACACATGCATACACACACATTTCAAAATCTTCACTACAGTGAAAATGACAGTGATCTATGTGAGGAAAACAGGGCTGCGTCAGAACACTTGACAGGGAAAGGTGGAACTTTGGTTCTAAGCTCTGGCATTAAAACAAGTACGAGTGTCTGGCCATGGGGCTGAGGAGAATGCTGCTCTTTGTGCCAGTCATGCTATTCTCACACCAGAACAAGGCTGCCCACACTCCTGTATCATGGCAAGAGTGCTACAATACATCCAGGGGCTGCAATGAACTGAAAATAAAGCTCCAAACCCCAAAGGGGAAAAAATCTTAAAAAGAAGCTACATTTTACTGAAAAGGAAACTAAGATGTGCTCCCTCCCAATCCTAAACCACCACTAAATGCTTTAAATGTTTTTATAAAGTGATTCTTTCATCCCCCAGCCTGGGTAAACCACCGGTGTGGGGGAAGAAAGCAGCAGTATTAGGTATGCAGTGTTGCTAGGGAACACTCTAGTATCAAGGAGCAGCCCACAGCGGTTTCAGTAGCTGGTGAAGGGCTCCCCTCCAACCACCCTTTCAGCTTATTTAAATCCTAACACTGGGTTTAGTGGACTGAAGTGTGTGTGTAGAGAGGAGGGGGAGAACCAGGTTTTGTTTTAAAAGAAGCCATTAGAAAGATGGAGGGATGTTGGGAGAAAGGCAGGATGCAGCCAAGAGCACGCTGAGTAAACGGAGGGGAAAAAAGAGGAATGAAGAAGTGGGTACTGGGAGGTGAGAATAGGTAAACGCGTGCCGCATGGGCATGTACACATACATGCGCGCACACACACACACACATAAATATGCAGAAAAATGGAGGTTAAGGAAAAAACAAAAAAGATTCAAAATTAAAATAAAGGAAAATGACATAGATAAGAGATAAGAATGTGAAAAGACTACAGAATCAGCATCATTAAATACAGGGTTTTAAGAGCAGCAGTGTTAAGAAAAATGATCAGAGAAACTCAAAGATTATATATACATGTATCAATGGAATATTCTCAACTTGGGCTTCTACTGTAAAACATAAAGATGGAAATTTGGGTCTGGATATGAATTGAAAGATATAAACCTGTCATTCTGCCAAGGTGTCTAACATCAACAAAAAACATCTATACCAACCATAAAGAATATAGTAAATGGGCTTTGAACTATATGTAGAGATTCAAATATGATTTCTCCATTTGAGAACTAAAATAGAAACTGGCAGTTAAAAGTAATCTATGATATTTAATACTGTACAGTATCAGCACTCCCCAAATAAAATAACGTATTATTTTAATAAGAGTCTCATAAACCGATCAGTAATTTAGGAAAAACATACATTTCTTATGTATACAGAGTTAACTTTCAAAACACTTTTAAATAAAAAATTAAATTATTTAATTAAAATTATTTACATAAAATTTAAATATTTTAATAAAAATGTTCTAATTTAACAGAATTACCATAGATCCTTAGTTCAGCTGTAGATGATACTACAGTATTATAAACATTGACTTGAGTTAAAAAGAATTAACATAAATACTGATATTTCCTTTTTTTAACAAGTAAAAAAGAAATTTAGTAATTGATGTATGTTTTTAATCACAGGACTCAAACTTTAGAAGTGAATAAAAGAAACCTGCTTATAGAAGAAGAAGTAGTGTGACATCAAATGGTTATTTATTAATTTTCAATACAATAATTTATGATTTCATTACAATAATATACCTTCATTAAGATGGAAAACATATATTTATCTGCATGTGCTTATGTACATTTTCCGCTTACTGTGTAATTTTTTCTGTTGCCAAATTCAGGGCATCCAGATGCATTTGAGCCAGTCGTAATCCAGGAAATGTCAAAAAAGCCCCAATGAGTGAACAGAAAATAGCCAGGAAAAATTTGAAAGTAAGTTTTGAAACAGGACCCCTAAATAAAATTAAAAAAAAAAAAAAAAAAAAAGATAGTAAGTTCTTTAACTTTCTAGGAATTTCCTTTCCTCTGATCAATTACTTTACAAACCACAGTAATGGTAGTAACAAAAACTAAGTAAACTTTTACAAAAAGACTGCTCTTACTCAATTATCTATAATGGATTTTGGTGCACTGTAAACTAAATCAGGCATCTCTAGCCACACTGGTAACAACCCAACCTGCATATTCAACATAGAATTTGATATATGACTCAAATATAAAGTTATTTAATCTCTCGTGGCAGAGGAATTAAATCAAATAAGAGCAAATCCAAATAAGAATTCCATCAAACATACTAACTTTATACATATGTAAAAATTACGAGTGAGGATATTTCTAAAAGTCCTACTTAAAGGACTCTTTTCAAGGATTAAAAACACAAAGCCACTTACAGTAAATGCTTTTTTACAAAAAAATGAAAAAATTTAAACTGAAGTGATACTTAGTATTTTTAAAAACTTACTGAGATTCTAAACCTTGCTTTTCAAGAAACTGCATCGCACTATCTGAAAAATTTGTAAACCCTGCAGGGAAAAAAAAATTATTCTTAATACAGAATCTTTCTTTGGAAATAAAATGTTAGGAAACAGAACATCTTAAATCTTGAAGTGACTAGCTTAGGCTCTTTCATGTGCTAATTAGTATGCCATAATGCAATAAAATTTGGTTATTAGCAGGAACAGTCTTTGAAAACATCCCTTTGATATCTGTACATTCCATAAGTGTGCATAAAATTTGCATCAAAATTTGCATCTTTATCTATGTGAGTAAACTTCAGCATTGCAGAAACTTAAACTTAACTAAGGAAAAAATGAGGGGGCAGCATTTTTAGAAGCAGCTAACAAAAAGTTTAGCTAAAACAAAAAAAAGAAGATTAAGAATAATAAAGGTTATTTAGAACATTACAGAATATACACCTCAAACCTAATTTTAAAAACATATCAAATATAAAACATAATTAAATAATGAAGTAAAAAATATTAACACTTGATAAAGCAAAACTGATTTTTAAACTTATATAAAATGATTACCTGTTTCAAGTCCAAATTCCAGATAGTTTTCTGTTACAATCAAGACTGCCATTGCTTTCACAAAGAAAAAAAATCCAAAGGTAACACAGACTGATCTTTCACCACCATCTTCTACTTTAAAATAGTGTGTAGTTAATGAAAATAGAACTTTGCTGCAGAAGAAAAAGTTCAGGAAAAACCACAAGTAACTGTGGGAGTTAAATAGAACCATCTTTATAGGACTTAAACTCCAATAAAATCTGACTACAACGTTTATTTTGATTCTACAACATGCTTATCTACAAGGTGCCCTTTGGAAGGAAGTGAAAAACTAATGAAAATCTGATTAGTCTTCCAGGAAATAGGACATAAAAACACAGCAAATTTTAGCGAAGTTTATAACATTTTTAAATTAATGAAAAGTGCACATATACATGTTAAGCTGTAACTAGGGAAAGAATGTATTTCTATTTTATCTGATTCAAATTTTACTTGGAGGTTATTATAATAATTTTATGAAACAGGTTCTCAGTGTCATGAAAAGCCAAGATAGAGATTATTTTAGGGAACTACCTTTTCTTTGGCATGTTCTTCAAATAAATTATATTTAGAATTAAACACACACACATCACAGAAATCATCTGTAAATCATCCAATAATTCAAAATTTGAGAATCACTAATAGCCACTGGTAAGCTGGTATCATTTCACAGATTACCATTAAACAAAAAACCTAGAGAAAATAAGTTCCAGCTGAGTACTCAAAAACAACCAAAGGTTCAACGTGCTCAATTATTTAAAAAAATAAATAAAATACTTTTATGTAAAAATATTAGATTATTTTATTTGAACTCCCCCACTCCTCCAAACAAATGATCAAATAAATATCAAACCAGTGGATGATGCAAAGCTAGAACCCAGATTTCCATTATATCAAATTGTCTTGAAAGCATAAACCTGCCAAACAAAATAAGGTGCTTGGCAAAAAAAAAAAAATCTAGAAAAGCAACTTTCACATCAACTATATGTCAAGCATGGAAAATAATAACAGCTGTCACTTAGTACTTGCAAGTGCTAGGCACTACCAATTAACTCATTTCATCCTCACATTAGCTAACTATCATCATTACTTTACAGATTTTTAAAAACTGTGGCACAGAAAAGTAACTTGTCCAAGAGCACATAGCTTAATTAAAGGAAGTAAGCATTTAAATCTAGGCAGTCTGGATCCAGAATGTTCACTTAACTTATTATACTGCCTCTTCCAAACTGTATACAGCACCTAAGTTATGTGGTAGTTTGGCAGTAACACAAGAAACCTAAAAATAGAGTTGCCATGAAAGATGTGAATAGTTCAAACATTCTCATGATCAGAAGACTCCTTCCTGAAAAGTTGGGAAAGGGTAAGAACTCTCTCATCCTTTCTGCTTAAAAAGCTGTCCTTTTTTGCCCTACTTAAAAATGGTTAATAAACTTATTACCCATTCTTTTATTTTTTTTGGATACTACCAAGAATATTGGATATAAATGCTTTCCAGCTGCTTCCCAGCTGCTCTTAGTTAAGGTCCCATAGCCTAAAGTAAGACAACTTAAAGGTAATAAAGACAGATGACTTTTTGGCCTTTTTTCAAATGGAACTTGAAATAAATCTCTACTGGAGTGTAAAGTCCATTATATCAAGGATTCTTGTCTGTTGTTCAGTGCCAAGAAAAATGCCTGGCACATAGTAGGTACTCAAACAATCAGTGAATGAATTCTGCCATAGAAATGTTTTTACATGGCAGTTTAGGTAAGCTGAAATAGTATTAATTCTATGCTTCAAGGTAAATAGATCTTTGAAGAATGATATAAAAAACAAAACTGTTTGCCTGGGACAATATATTCAAAGTAAAAAAAAAAAAAAAACCTCAATGTAGAAAAAGTTTTAGTCTACAGATCTGTCTTTATTATTGGTAATAACAAAAATATAAATTATTTACCACCCATGGTTATAAATGTAAAGGACTGCCTGGGTTTTATAAAGGCTATGGCTTTGTTTTCTTAAGGCTTATTTAGCGGATAGTTTCCCCTTTAAAATGTAAAAAAAAAAAAAAAAAAAAAAAGAAAGTACAGGAATAGCTCATCTTTACCCACTTATTCCAGAGCAACCAGGCCCCCAGAACAGTATGTGATGGAAAGTATTTTATTAACACCCTTTACTCAGCTCATTTTTCAGTGAGTATCATCCCCTTCCTGCCTTTCACTGTTCTCATCTCTTCTCATCTCATGTTATTTCCACTCCAGCTAATCTCCTTTTCATATAAATCTCTTCTTTTTCTTAAATACCATGATGCAAGATAAATACTTTCTCTAATCTGTTTTCCTAATTACTTATTAGTAATAGTGCTGTTTTCTTTGGAGAACTATGGTCTTGTATGCTATGTTACCGACAAAATGAACTTTCATGGGTTAATATTGCCAGGGGAAATGCCATTTATAGCATTATTTCCCTAAAAAAGTATTACTTTACTTCTAAGCATTTTAGAACAATCTACAAATTAGTTTGGAGATACTATCTACAAATCGCTGTACTAGAAACTGATTTCAACTTCTTAATGTATTTCTTCATAGACTGTAATATTTTTATGCTAGTCTATAAATAAAATACCCAATTTGCTTCTAAGATAAGACAAAACCAGGTAATGAAAAGCTAGATGATAACCCCTGAACTTTTTTAATAAAAGACTTCTGCATGTTTTCATATTTACTATAGTGAATACCTGCTTTAGAATATATATAACCAGAATACACATATAGAACTTCAGCATACAACTTCTGAAGTCATTTACCAGGTATTTTAAATGTCTTCTTATAACCACCATAACTCAGGTTAAATATATTACTGGTTAAGTATTTGAACAAATTACTTCTTTAATGTAAAAAAATAAGACTAATAAACAAGCAAACACCAGTAGTTTGCAATTATTACCTCCAGCAAATATACAGCACTCTATCACAAAGTTATCTTGCTCAATTTAAGTCTGTAGTACTCTGGTTATAGAACAACAGAGAAATCTGAAACTCTACTGAAGTAAAAAAGCTAACCCACCCTATAATAGATGTCAGTTTCTATGATACTGAGCACTAAGGGGGAAAGGGGAAGCTAAATTATTTTTATAAATCCTCAAGTCTTATAAATCTGCAAAACTGACAATCTCTGCAATTTACAGTAAGAATTTCAAGAGTGATATTTACACTGCCGTTCTTATTTCGCAGTGTGGTATTTTGTGATATTCCATGTGTTATCCCTTCACAATTCTAAAATCAGACAACATTATTGTACAAGTTTTCCCTAAACATATTTGTCAATCTTTTTCCTATCTTGGCTAACAGCTACTAAATCATTTATAAGCAATAAGAGTGTATCGCATCATTGCAGAAGTTGGCATGATTTTGTAATATTCAGCTTAAGTAAGACTGTCAAATGGATAGGATGTCAATTTCAATTAAAATGATTAATGAGGGTTTAACAAAGCACTTTTAGGTTCCACATCATTTTAAGATGTAATATGAATTATTTTTAACTTTTCTACAACTTAATCATTACATACGTCCTACCACTATATTTTTCTCCATTTCTCTAAGACTATTTCATTTTAGAGTTTTTGCATTTATGCTCTCACATCAAAGACAAACACTAGTGGTCTATAGTTGCTTAAAGTATAAAGACTTTCTAAGGGAAAAAAAAAATAGTAAGACTATATACCCAACACAGGGCCCTGACAGAAATCAAGAGTCTCCAGCGAGGGGAAATAAAGGCAGGATCTGCCCCACCATCAACACAGACCTGTTCCATTAACTTGGGTGAAAATATATTGTTTGTAATGAAAGATGCTTCTGAGAGGAGCTATGTGTGCATACAGAAAAAAAGCTACAAAGCATTAACCTAAACCACCTTGCATAATCAAAGCTTGTCGGACAGTTTTCTAATTAACAAAAGTAACAAACACATTGTAGCTTAAATTTACATTATGATTTAGTTTTTAGTAGTTCAATTACTGAAAACTATAAAATTAAGACTTCTCTGCTTAAAACTTCCTAACTTCTCAGAGAAGAAAAGTACTACACATGTAAGATCCTATTATACAATTATTTTTAAAATAATGCAATTATAAAAGCATAACCTCATTATATCTATGATTAAGTGATATTAATCACTTTATTAAGAGCTGAACCCAGGTTAAAGTGTGATTATGAAAGCAAGTAACAACAACAAAAAAATCTGACTTTTTCAATAAATAGGACTACTGAAGCTTTTCCCCATGCAAATCACTGTTTTTCTTATAATGAAGTAGAGAATCTCTGAGTACCAAGTTTTCTAAGAAAGCAAGTTAGGAACAATTTTACAAGTCTTTTAAACTTCATCTTAACTTTCAGCATTCAAGGAGTGATACACAAAAACAGTTTAAGAGTGATGATGAAATTCTAGAATACAGATGCTCCAATTTTTCCCTCTAAGATATTCTGAATCCTGTGTTCCTTACTCATTTAACTCTTCTCCAAAACTTGAAAATAAAAGAAACAACATTGGTGGTTCATTTTACTAGTATCAAACACTATAGGTCCATCTCTTTCTTGGCATTATAACGAAGAGTTTACACACTGGGAAAAAGTAAGGAAAATGGAGTAAGATTAAAAAACAAATACAACCTTCCCCTCCCCGCCAAATCACAACGTAACTGCTTTTGAGATCTAGCTATGATCTCTCTCATTGCCTGAGGGCCCTAAGCCCAGGCTGGAAAAACACTGCTTCAGTTTTACTGAAAACGGATACGAGAATCTAGAGACAATTTCCAACTCCTTCACTTACAATGAAAAGCAAAACAACATCTTAGCCAAAAGTGGTATCAAATGACCAAAATGAAATTTCTCAAATATTACACCCACCGCAATACTTTGTTACCACAGAATAATTAAATTACAAAATATGTCAACACTAAAGGAAAGAAAATAACAAAATTAGATGTAATCTAATCCAGGCAGGAAGCATAATCTTCCTTATATCACTACTACCTTAATATATTAACCACCAATACCTAAAATGTTATAACCTCTGCATCCTCAATTCATATTGAATACTGGGTGAATCTTAAAACCAAGTATCTATTGAATCCCATATTAGAACAAAACCTTCC